GGGGGAGGGAGAGCAAATAGCTCGTATATATAGACAACAATAACAGCATGAAAATCGTGACAGTTTAAGTTGGAAAAAGGATCGTGGTATTAAAAAAAAATTAATTCAAGACCACAGACATATCATATCTGGTGACTGTCTGGATTGTTATATAACTGTAGATCAAGTTGCACTGAAAAATTATTGCATGCACGTTTTTATCTATTAATTTATGTGTGTGTAAGCTTTTGTAAACACATTTCCCAAAGGGGATCAATGAAAGTATTTTTTTTCCTTCTTTCTTGGTTTCCTGTCTGTCTGTCTGTCTGTCTGTCTGTCTGTCTGTCTGTCTGTCTGTCTGTCTGTCTGTCTGTCAGTCTGTCTGTCTTTCTGCCTGCCTGTCTTTCTTTCTTTCTTTTTATTTTTTAAAATTCCTTTATCTATTTCTTCATTTCTTCATTTCTTTCTGTCTTCATCTCTATCTTTGTTTATTTGTTTGTTTCGTGTTTTTTTTTGCTATTCATTTATCCATATAAATATATGTTTCTTTTTTCTATTTATCTATTCCTTAATTTTATTTCCCTATTTCAGGGACAGAACGTACCAACATCCAACTCTCCATGCAGCTGGTCAGCAATGATGGGGTAGATGGCTGTAACGTAGGCTCCGATCTGACCGGAACCTGGGATCTCCTTACCGCCAACAATCTTCATTCCGAGACCGCTCCCTGCGGAAACAGCAAGGCATTCTGGGTCAGAACAATCATTAAAAGTACATGATTTGACCTATGTCTGGGGGTCACGTGGGAATACAGGGTTGATTAAAAGTCCACGCTTTACGGCGAGACGAATTGAATTAATTTGGCAACGTTAGAGCGGTCTGAATTACTGGTCCAATTACGAGGCTTGAAATAGTGCCCGTGGACAGTTTTCTAGGTTGATATAAATCTATTGCTGGTGAGAACACCCACGCATAGATGGCTTGATAATAAATGATTCTATTAGATGTAATTTACCCAGTTTTGGGTAACATTAGTATACTTGAAAGGAATAATGTATTTTTTCCTTTTCAACGTCACGGTGATCATGATTTTTTTCACCCACCCCCCACCCCCCAGTCTTTGTCATTTCCTCCCACATCATCTTCTACTTTTCCTCCTCCTCCTCCTCCTCCT